TTATATCAAAGAAGACATTTGGGATTTGTTTTTTAGGGATTGGCTAGCTTCACTTAGCATAATCTGCTCTAATGCCATCCATTTCCCTGCAAATTCCATGATTTTGTCATTTTGTCAGTTAATTTATATTACTTGTCAATATAAAATTGCCATATTTACAAATAAAAATAGCAAGGAGGAATAATCCATTGCTTCACAATTTTGCAAATGTCTTTAATGTCTAGTCCAGTTTAAGATCCAGGTCCTCATTTCTGCTTCTGTATTCAATTTATGATGATATGCTGCTTTGGCTGATGTATATGAAGAAAATTCATCCTCACACAGACATGTAGTTGGAAAAGAGGAGAGTATTTTAATAACCTCCCAAAGAGTTGTGGGTATTTAATATTATACCACTTTGAATAGCAGCATTTTCCTAAACATTGTTACAATAGGGAAACTGAAAATATATCAGTGAATTTTCCATAACTGGTTATATTCAAACCCATTGATCAACTTTCCATTTTCAATGCATCTTTTATCCATGCATGATTTTGTAACATCTGCAGAATGCTGGTTCACGTAGGTATGAAGATCTCCCAAATGTTGATATATTCCTTTACATATTTTTTGAAAATCACATTGTTTTAATATTACCATGGTTATGAGAAGAGACGTTGAATACTGGAAAACATAAAACTCGTGGTGACACATACAATGGTCCAAAGTTCTGATTTCTGCTGGGCCGGAAGCTCAAGTATTACAAATTTACTTAGCAACATACTTGCTGTGATTTTCCCTGCCAGATTGACTGCACTCAGTCTTGAGAAAACATTTACCAAATTACCTAGCTCTAAATGACGAAAGTTTGTTGTCCATTTTTTCAAGTGAAAATCGTGCTCCGGGGAAAAATCATCAGTGCACCTTGTGACAAGAGAGCACAAGTTCTTCCAGTTGGGACAGCCATTGCCCATCGCACACAGCCCAAGTGCCCAGTGCGTTCTTCCTGGTGCACAAACAGAACATCAACAAGATGGGCACTCAAAGGTCAAGGCTTAATAAAAATTAATAACTTCTATTGCTTCATCAAGGACAAGAGCATCCTTATGGGAGCCCAGCTGATTTTTTAGATGGTAAGTCCTTGTGATAAAGAGCGTGGCGTCTGGTACAGTTCAAGGGGAGCACCTGCAGCCTTGCACCGTCACAGGTGGCAATCAGTGTGACCCCAGCACAGGGAATGGCCATGCTTGAGGGTCACTGAGAAAATAGTTTTCACTTTGCAGACCCTTGAGAAGGGGTTGTAGACCCCTAGAGAGCTGCGTACCACTTTGGGGGATAATCTAATTCCATTTCATTGTTTTGTGAGATGGGAAAATGAGGCACACCAAGATTATTTGTAAATCTTCAGTGAAGTGAAGCCTAAAATTCCTGAGCCCAGGGAGCTCTCCGGTTCTCTCCCCGCCATGTGAGAACACAAGAGGAAGATGACAACTTGTTGAGCAGAAGAGAGTTCTCCTGGGACTCCAGCTGGCACCCGATCTCAGCCCCCCGGCCCCACAACAGAGAAATTAGTAAGATAATTAGGGTTCGTTTCTATACCCACAACCATTCTGACCAAATGCAATCACAGGAAATCAGCGGAAACTCGGGGGGAGGGGGGACAGCCCAAGGACACACAGCAGGAAGCGGTGGGGTCCCACCCGACTCATAAGTCTGCCCCCTTTCCAGCGGCGCGCGCTCTCCCAGGTTGAACAGAACTGAGAAGCTGGAGCTCACTGTCCCGCGTTGGCTCAGGAACTCCCTTCAGGGGCGTGTCCTCCCGGTTCTGGAGGTTCGCAGAGGGGAGGAGGCGCTGGCTCACCGGGCAGCTCGCCCAGGCTCCGGGCAGAGAGAGGGAGGGAGCGCAGGCCGCGGGAGCCGGATGGAGACCAGCAGCCCGCGGTCCCCGAGGTCCAGCCCCAGTCCGGGGCTCAGCCTGGACGCCCGGCTGGGCGTGGACACGCGCCTCTGGGCCAAGGTGCTGTTCACCGCGCTCTACTCGCTCATCTTCGCGCTGGGCACCGCGGGCAATGCGCTGTCCGTGCACGTGGTGCTGAAGGCGCGGGCCCGCCGCCCGGGGCGCCTGCGCTACCATGTGCTCAGCCTGGCGCTCTCCGCGCTGCTGCTGCTGCTGGTCAGCGTGCCCATGGAGCTCTACAACTTCGTGTGGTTCCACTACCCCTGGGTCTTCGGCGACCTGGGCTGCCGCGGCTACTACTTCGTGCGCGAGCTGTGCGCCTACGCCACGGTGCTCAGCGTGACCAGTCTGAGCGCCGAGCGCTGCCTGGCCGTGTGCCAGCCTCTGCGTGCCCGCCGCCTGCTGACGCCACGCCGCACCCGCCGCCTGCTTTCGCTGGTCTGGGCCGCCTCGCTGGGCTTCGCCCTGCCCATGGCCATCATCATGGGCCAGAAGCACGAGCTGGAGATGGCAGGCGGAGAGCCAGAGCCCTCCTCGCGCGTGTGCACGGTGCTGGTGAGCCGCGCCACGCTCCAGGTCTTCATCCAGGTAAGTGAGTGGGGTTGGGGGAAGAAACTGTCCCCGCCCCTCCCCTGGAGGGACAGAGGGTTTCAACACTATTTTACAAAATAGAGTTACCATCCGATTTTACAAAAGTCTTGGGGAGAGAGTTGGCCGAGACAAGCATTGAGAAAAGTACAAATTTGAACTCAAAATTAACTCCCAAAGCCTGCGTTCTTGCCAGTCTTACAAGAGAGGTGTGCAGACATTGCTGGGCCTAAGAATCTCCTGGGGAGCCTGTAAAAATGCAGATTTCCTGAGCACCGTGCTTCAGAAGATGCCCCTCACCACCATCACCATAACCACACCGCTCTGGAGCCAACCTCCCAGGAGGCGGGGTGGGGAAATCAGAAGGCTCTGGGGACTAACAAGGGCCTAACATTTCCTGGGCGCCCAGTGGAGCACATTCTTCCACTTCCTTGAACCCAGGACTTTCCTCTAGGAATAAAGCATCGATGGTTGATGACTGTTTCTTCCTTTATTTGTGGATTTCTTTTGAAAGGAATTTGGGGCAAGGATGATGGGGCAGGCCTGGGACCTGGGGACAGAGTCTGGTACTCATGGCTCCGGGAGTCCTTCCACCTCTTGCTGTCTTTGCAGCATCCCTGATTCAGAAAGAAAAAAAAAAAAAAAGATGTTCGTATGTCCATGAGTAGGATTCGGACATTCCGTCTGTCCCCCTGGCAAGGACAGGACCCCAGCCTACCCTTTGATAATTAAATATGATCAGGTGAACATACCCAGGATACAGCTTTGCATGCCCTGCCTCAGCCTCCTGGCCTGGCTTCCCTGCCTCTGAGGCTGTGACAGTGGACTGCCACTTTAGAGTGAATCTGTCCAGCAGGTGGGAGCCTTTTGAGGACCTGTTTGAATACAAGTACTGCAGAGCAGGCTGAGACACGCAGGGTCATGTCTACAAAGCCAAGAAGAAAGTAACTGAGGATTTTGAGCAACCAATTGCTCTTTCTCTTTGAAAAGTTTTTCTGTCTCGTGCTGATAGGGAAAGGATGGCTTCTGCATGAACTCTGGCTTGAACTCAGTGTCAGGAAGCTTCTAACCCAAGACAGCTCAGTTACCCTGGGGAGAGTGAAGTCTATTACATCAGCTTCTAGGTGACATTTGCCACCTAGGTGCTAATGGGCATTGCATAGGAATATAGAACCTGTAGATTTTTTAATTATGGGTGAAGGTGCCAAGCAAAGAAGAGTCCAGATTGCCAACATGGGCTTTACTTATTTTTCTTCATGTGTCTTTGGAACCTTTAGAACCAACAGTTGTGACATTCTGGTGCTGGAGTCCCAGAAGTACTTAGAACAAGGCATTGTCCCAAAGCTGCTGATACATGGACTTTAGGATGTGTGTTCGCAGAGCTACCAATGTCAGAATTAATATTTATTATCATCAAATCTAGTAATCTCCATCCCCACGAAAAGCTGGATGGAACATCCAGTTTAATGGGATTTTGTGCAGATATAATAAGGAGGCCAGAACATTCAACATTGTAAAGGATTTCAAAGGGAATTTATATACCAATCACAGCCTTGGCAAGAATATGGAAAGATGCTCAGTTAACAACCCAAAGAGAACACTCCACTCTCTTTAGAAGGCACTTACTCTAGCCTCTGTAAATATAATCGACTCAGAACTGACTGGGCAGTTCTCATTTTTAGAAAATTTGGGCAAGAGGTAAAAGGTCTAGATGAAAGGTCTAGGAAAGAAAAGAAAAAAAAAGCCAAAACCCCAGGAGCAGAGCAGTAATCTGACCCATGCAAATGCAGCCCTCCCACTGCATCAGGTGGACCAGCCATGACCTCACGCTTCAGCCATCCTGTCCATGTGCTGCTGGTCTCTGCTCTGGCCCAAGCACATCTTAGCAATCACAGAGGATGGCCGACACTCGTGTACCCCCAGCAGCCTCCACGTGGTTCCAAGCTGCCAGGGAACAGCCAGAGCACTGCTGCCCAGGCCTGACTGTGCAGCTCCCTGCTAAGCCAGCAAGGCATGGCAATGACCTGGACAACCAAGTGCCCAAATGCCCCAAATGCCAGGTCCTGCTTCTTGTTACAGACTAAAAACAGGCTGTCCCTGTTTTGGAGCTGGACTTTAAAAATGACATGGGCCTGCACAGTTTGGGTTGGAATGTTCTGCATACACAGCTCCCTGGACATGGGCCAAAGAGGTCACTGCAGCACAGCCATAAGATGCACTGGGAGCCAGCTCTTGACCTTATACGACGCAAATTCTCTCAAAGTAACACCATTGTTTGGCAACTAGCTTGTAAAGAAAAGTTTAACTTTTGACATACAGCATGCGTTAACACAAAATAACCCAATCCAAGTTAGGGTTATCTTGGCTCACTTTTTTTTCCAATGTCTTATCAGTAGTTGATCTGTTGCCCATAAATGAGTGGGTTCCATCCCCTCCACCCCCCAAAAAAACTCATGGTTTTTGAAAGTACAAAAAGCTATACAGTTTTTCCAGAAAGATTTATGGGAATCATAATTTTCCCAATAATTAAGAACTAATTTATGAATACATTTTTACTTTCGCTTTGTGTGTTGACCAGTATAAAAGTGACAATTTGATAGCAATTAAATATGTTGCTGTTGATATAAATCCGTACAGTTCTTCAGCAAAGTATAGGTTTATCCTTCCCTTGGGGTTGCTGATTTGTGAGCAAGATAAGAAAGCAGGAGTGGGAGCTCCTTAAAAAGGCACAGTGCCCAATGCAGATAGTCTGCACTAACGTGAAATCTATTTAAAATTGGTATTAAAGTATCGTCAGATCTCTGAAGTCTTGCAAAGGGAAAGGAGTAAGAGAGCCTTAGAATTGAAGAGGGAAACCCTGAACACATACTATTGTGTTTCAATAATATATACTGAATAATAAACATACTATTGTGTTTCAACCAAAAAAAAGTTGTTTTTTTTTAAATAAACACTTAAAACACAGAGTATTATGTAATAAACTCATTTTTTCCTAAGTACAAAAATAGTCAAATAATAAACCAAGGCCTGTGATGTGAAGCAGCAGCCACACCCTGCCTTGATGTCTATAGTCAGGAGGCAGGTGCTAACCCCCGGGGCTCCTGTTGCCCTCTGTTATGCTCCTAGAGGGTTCCCTTGCCTGATTTCCCGGCTGTGGATTGTTCCCACAGTCCTCTACCTGTGGACGTTGAGCAAGACGTGCTTCCCTCCCTGCTCTCCACGCCCACACACTCACACGGCCCTGCCATCCCTCCAGGAGAAGCGTGTCCCTGCTGGATCTGTTGCGTTGGCTCTTGTGGCTATGTAAATATCCTCCACAGTGAGCCGCACTGTCTGCTGTCCTTGTATTTTCCTTCTGACGTGGCCTTGCTTCCTTGACCTTCCTACCGTAGTCTTTTTTATTCATTTGCTTAACTTTCTATGCATCTGTTTCTAATTCGTTTTCAAATTCTTTAACCAGAAGAGTAAGGGCCATTTCAATATGTTCAGACCCTTTAGGTGCCCTCTGAGGTTCATCTTTTATTCTTCTGTCCTCCTCCCGAGAGCCCTCTATCCTTCTGCTCCCTTCCTCCTGGCTCTCCAGGCTCCTGCACAAGAGGGTGCCTGGGAACTCCCTCCATTGCCCTTGGCTCCGCTAGCGGGTGCCCAAGTCTTTCTCCAGCTCCTCTCCTGCTCCTCCTCCTTCAACAGGGTCTCACTAAGTTGCCCAGGCTGACCTCAAAGTCATGGTCCTCCTGCCTCAGCCTCCTGAGTTGATAGGGTTACAAGTGTGGACCACTCTACCTGACTCCAGCTTTTCCTTAGGTGCACAGAAACCTCGGTGTGCGTCTCTTTCTGGACATTGTTCTGATACTCAGACAACCTTGCCGTCTAGAAGCTCAGATTGCTCAATTTGGGAGAAACTTTTTTGAATGTGGGATTTTTCCATATAATTTTCTCTCTTTGTTTTCTGTATCCTTTTCCTCTCTAGAATCCTCTTATTTAATGATGCTGGGCATCCTAAATGAATCCCCGGGGTCCTTATCTCTTCTCTCTTCATTCTCTCCATTGCCCACTCCCCGTTTTCTGAGCATCCCCCAGCCTCATCTTCTGGCCCTTCTGGCCCTGAATTCTACAGATGCAGATTCTGGGCTGGGCGCCCCCCGAAGCCCAGAGCTCCGCCTCCGTGACCTGGAATTGCCTCCACAGGTGAACGTGCTGGTGTCCTTCCTGCTCCCCTTGGCACTGACCACTTTCCTGAATGGGGTCACCGTGAGCCACCTGATGGCCCTCTACTCCCAGGTGCCATCAGCCTCTGCCCCAGGCAACTCCATCCCCAGCCGCCTGGAGCTACTGAGCGAGGAGGGCCTCCTGGGCTTCATCGCATGGAGGAAGACCCTGTCCCCTGGGAGCCACCCCAGCCTGGTGAGACACAAGGATGCCGGCCAGATCCGCAGCCTGCAGCACAGCGTCCGGGTTCTCAGTTAAGTCCTCTGTCACACTTCCCGAGGGAGAGAGGTCTGGGTGCCAGGGCTGCCTCCACCAGGTCCTGACCAGGTGACCTAGCAAGTCACTGTCCTTCCTAGACCTCCTTTTCCTGTGCCTCAGGGGGGCTGTACTCAGCAATAGACTTCCTGCAAAGACTCAGAGGGATGTTACACTCCCCCCACCTTTTGAGTGTGTGTGTGTGTGTGTGTGGTGCTGGGGATTAAACCCAGGGCCTTGCTAGGAAACTGCTCTACCACGGAGCCATACCCCCAACCCATCAGAGAGAGATTAAAGGAAGAAGTGGGAACTTTGTTCATGCAAGTCCTCATCTGCCCCAGGAGTCGCATACTCAAACAAGCAGAGACCTGGCCTCTGTTTGGAGGTTGAGCTGTGTGAATGAGTCCAAGGAGCAGCTAGAGTGAAAGAACACATGCTCGGAAGTGTGGACCCTCAGACTGCCTGGGTCCCCAAACTCAGCCCCCTTACCCTCCCCTTTCCCTCCTACAACACTCATCTCTTTGCTTGCGAGCTTGTTTTTAATGAGAATCTGGGACAATCTAGCATTGGAACTTTAAAAAGCACAGGAAAAGCAGGTCTCTTCAAGCACCTGCTACTCCCCAGGCACAAACCGAGGTGTGGAAGGACCGAGTGGGAGCTAGATCTGTGCCCTCAGTGACATCGGGTCTTGTGCATGGACAGAGACCAGGAGCTGGGTGCGATGCATGTGATAAGTGGCAGAGTCAGCACTTGAAGGTGTCAGGCTCTGCTTTAAAGATGGTGGGCAGAGATCAAGAGTCACTGTCCAGGAGTGACAGGGGAGAGCCCATTTTGAGATCTGTTGCCCTGGCGGCTCTTTGGAGGATGGACACAACAGTGCTTCTCAAACGCTCCTGCACATAGGAGCGAGCCAGAGCGCCCAGGGCCAACCCAGACGTTCCGACTCCAGGTCTGGAGTGGCCCAAGGTCCTGCAGTGCTACAGGCTTCTCATGTTGGCTGCTGGGCCCATGCTGGCCTAGAGAACAAGTTTTCCAGTGGAGCAAGGGAGAGGAGAAGAGGGAGGGGGGTGGACCGTTAGGAAACAGTTGTCAGGATCTGATGAGAAGGAGACAGAGCTCCTTAGGTGATAGCAACGGGGATGGAGAGAGATGGTGAGGAGAGCTCTCTAATCGGTGGGATTTAGGAGGAGATGGATAAGAGGACTTGCTGGCACGTGGCTCGCTAGGTGGATGGTGGGGCCATCTATCCCTCAGAACCCGGGGGGCCTTTCCACGGCTGGAAGGACATTTGAGTTCTGTGGTGAACATAGTTACCAACCAGGTGAGACTATGAGGCCCTGAGCTGGGAGTACCTTCCGAGAGCTGGGCCAGGGGGACTCTGGAAGCATGTCATGTCCATGTCCAGGCCACGGCTGAAGTGGACATTCACCCAGAGAACTTGGTGGTACAAAGTTCAAGAACAGATTCAGATAGGAGTGTATCAGGTAATGGCCAAGTTCTCTCCCTGCCCTCTGACTCCAGGTACAAGTCACAGGGAAAGGCTGCTGTCTGGGTGTCTTCTTCCCGTGGAGACGGTGCACCTGAGAATGTGTTGGCTTTCTCCTGTTCTCTGTCCCCTTGCCCTGCAGGAGCCATCGTGGCGGTGTATGTGGTCTGCTGGATGCCATACCACGCCCGCAGGCTCATGTACTGCTACGTCTCTGACGAGGCGTGGACCGAGTAAGTGTGATGGGCAGCCCTGGCCACGGTGGGAGGGATGGCAGCCCTCCTCGTGCCTGGGCTTGCCGCTGCTCCCCACAGAGACCCTCTGTTTCTGGAAGGACCTTTGGATCTCTGGCCTGTGTTCCAGATGGTCCTGCCCACTCTGCACTCTTAGTCTCCCAACTGGGGGGAAAGTCACAGTATTTTCTAGAAACACTTCCGTCCCTGTGGGGCCATGTGAGTGAGAAGCCTTGTAGGTGGTAGTCATAGCTGTGGGCATCCTGACTCTAGGGTGGACAGAAGCCTGCAGGCCAGGGACAGGGATGAAGGTCATGTTCATATAAAGTCATAGGCAGCGGAGGACTCCAGATGTGGTTCCTTGAGCTAACAAAGGCTCCTGAGACAGAGACCAGGACATGCACACCCTTTTATGACCTAGTTGGAAGAGAGAAAATCCATTCTCGTCCTTTTAGAAACCACAGTGCCCCTGATTATAAGTAGAGGCCAACAGAGGAAAGATCCCACATAGGCCCTGAGGACATAGCTGTGTCAACGGAGGCCTGCTTCCCGGAGCCCTCTGCACCCCTTCCACACACATGTGCTCACGCACGCAGTGGCCAAGCCCTTACTGCTGCAAAGAATTCCTGCAACAGGGAGCAGGCTGCTTCTCAGAGAGACTTTCAGCACTTAGTGACGCCACGTCTCTGACCAGATCCACTCCCTCGGGCCCCCAGCATCTCAGTGGCCTGGATACTCCCTGTCCTTCGCCAGGGTCATCCTCACCGTGTAGGTCAGGAACTCAGCCAGAGATGGCAAATTGTAGAGGCAAGGTGGAGTACCTCGGCCCAGGGCAGCTGGTGGGGACGGACCGCTGCTTCTTGGCAGCCAAAACACAGGCCTCCCTCCCTGGGCCCGGAGGAGACAGGCCCTCCAACCAGGCCCCTGGGCTTCTCTTCCAGCGCCCTCTATGACTTCTATCACTACTTCTACATGGTGACCAACACGCTCTTCTACGTCAGCTCCGCGGTGACACCTGTCCTGTACAACGCCGTGTCCTCCTCCTTCAGGAAGCTCTTCCTGGAGTCCCTGAGTGCCCTGTGTCGCCAACACCGTCCCATGGAGCCATTGCCCCCGGAAGCCCCGGGGTCCCACCCCAGTGGGTACAGCTTCAGGTCTTGGGGATCCTCCCGATCCCCTGACCTGGATGAGATACAAGAATGAGCAGAGAGAGAGAATGGCTGAGTGCCCGTCACCTGCGTATCAGACGAGGCCCGTCATCACTGATCATCTCCGCTGTGCAGCCAGAGGGACTCCACTGACCCCAGCTCCGCCACTTACCAGCCACGAGCCTGCAGGCAAGTCACGTAACACCTCTTGGCCTCAGTTTCCCTTCCGTATAACAAAGATAGAGCCCACCTCTTAGTGACAGCTACCGTCAAAGAGCACAGCACCACCTGGGCATAACCACACTCAATAAAGTCTAGCCGGTGCCATTTTGTCTCGGTTGTTACGTTGTTACTGCTTTTCTGCTCTCCTGGAAGCTGTGGTGGCTTCCTGCTCATTGAGTTTGCGCTCAGATGTCCCAGGAGTTTTCCCAAGTGACAGGCCAGCCGTGCTGGCTTAACAGTGACATCATATTAGCTGCACAAAGCTCCCTACCCTCTCCAGCTGGACACAGCAGTTCTCACCAAGAGGAGCATGCTGTGGGCTCTGGAAAGCTGGCCATCACTGGCTGCCCCCTAACTGGACTCAGGCCTGTGCTAGGCCTGATTTGTGGCAGCTGGACCACGGCTGTGTGGCTGATCGGGAACGGCCACGTGCTGCCTGCCTCAGAGCATGGGCCCAGTGTCCTGCCACCTGCACCATCTTGGACCAGAGGTAGATTTCAGATTTGGAATTCACACTAGGACACTCAACCTGCACCACAGCACCATTTATATGTGGGGGAAATGGGAACAGAGAGGTTCATAGGTTCTCCACAGACTCCTTGATAACTCAGGGCCTGGAACCCAGACTGGGGACTAGGGAGCTTCGGGCTCAGTCTCTGTAACTTGCTGCTTCCCAAGAGCTTGATGTCAAGAGATGCTCAAAGGTTACAGGGCCAACAGGGTGGAACTAAGGGAATCAGGACAAAGCATGCAACAAATCCTACTTGTTAGGCCACCATTAACAAATTGTTGGGTATAAATCTTATTTCATGACACAATCATAATGTGATCACCTTATTAACCAGAAGAGCCAACAGAAGACAAAATTATATTCTAACATTGTGTACGGGTCACACAGATGCAGAGAAGTCAGAGTGCAGCCCTTCCCAATGAACACGGTGGGTTTGCTAAGGAGGTGGGCAACCCCAGAATGGGCTGGGGACTCCTGTCTTTGTCCCACAGTCTGGGCACAGTCATGCTGGGCACTCAGAAACCTGGAGAGAAGGAAGCACTCCCTGTGAAGCGAGCTTCGTTTTGTTTTGCTTTGTTGACATAATCCCGTTTGTGTGATCTCTAGAGAACAAATTTCAAATAGAAATCGAGTTCCCCTGGCTATTGTCCAGGGCGGTGGCACTGAGCATGGTTGAAAGAGCCTAGAGACTGGGGTCGGGTAGGTCTGGGGAGCAGCCCTGCCTCTGCTGCTTGCTGACTGAGGGACTCAGCAAGACCCACCGGTCCCCTGTGGCCTCATTGCCGCATCTAACCCCAGGGGTGACTGTAATGTCACCTATGGCTTTTAAGAGTTAAATGACATCATAAATATAGACAGATGCTCAGTGCTGCACCCACCACCACCAGAAGAGCTCACCAAATAGCAGCTGTAAGAAATGTAGGCATTGGTAGTGACTGCCAGGGCCTGGGGCGTGGTGACAGGGACAGGGAGAAAGGTGGGGATGGTAGGGAACATGTGATAAGGATTCTTATAGTGATACAAACCCACCAATGTCAAAATTCTACTACAGGTACACAACGTCTCTTTTATCATTTTCTAAGACTGTAGATAAATCTGTCATTATCTCAGAAACATTAAAAAAAAATGAATGAAATTTAAAAAAAATCACACACAGTCCTACCATACAGATAACATCTATTAAATCAGGGGCAGACGTCCTCTGAAAAAATGGTGGCATCGTCATTTTAAAGGGATGTTGCAGGTCCTAAATGCAGATTCGAATTCCACATTTCAAGACGCTGCGCTGCCCCTTTGCCCTGTGCGGGCTGGTTGGACGGCTTCCTCGCCTGACCAAGATCATGAGAGGCTACACGGGAGCCTATTTTCTCAGATTTCGCCTCAGGGCCACTGGGTCAGTCAGAACCCTGGGTAGCCAAGGGCAAACTGGAAAAGGAAGCCAGCGTGCGGCACCGGATTCCTTTCTTGTGATTCTTGTGACAGCCATGACAGACCCACGTGGCCCAAACCTACAGGCCTCCATTCTCTCAGAATCCGGGAAGCTACAAACCTCAGATCAAGGTGTCGGAACCTCCAGAGACCCCAGGGCAGGCCCACCTTGCTTCCTCCAGCTTCTGCTGGGCAAACCGGGTGCTCCCTGGCTCTAGGTCCCCTAGTCCGTTCTTGGCCTCTGTCCCCACACGGCCGTCTGTGTGTCTCTCTCAAGGAGGGGGTTCCTTCCCTCCAGGATGACTTCACCTTAATTCAGCTAATTACTCAGGGACATGGTTATTTCCAAGTAAGTCGTGCTGAGTGCCAGGGTGAGGTCTCGTGCATCTTTAGAGGTCTAATTCAACCCCTAACACCACCCGAACCCCCTCTTCTTAGCAGGTGGAATTGCTAAGCCTGGGAAAGACCCTTTTATAGAGCAAGAACTAGCACAAGAGCGACTACAGGTCCCAGGCAAGAGAAACGAGTGTGTGCCAGGGTCCAGAAAGAAAGAAGGGAATCTGGGACAGCATATTCCGCGAATGACAAATGCAGTCACAGAATTCTGTGTTTTTCTCTGGACGTGAAGGGCTTTAAAAACCCACCATGGCCTTTCCAACTGCTCTGTTCATGAAAATGCTAATTCTCTGGAGCTGGGAAGTCTGCCCGAGCAAGGAGGCCGAGAGAGAAATGAAAGCGGTTACCCTGGCAGCACCTCGGTCCACGGTCCTCCCTCGAGGCTGCTGCAGAGCCCGAAGGCAGATCCAGGGGTTCAGGCCTCTGTATTTAAAACGACTTCTGAACTTCAATGCTGGCATTGCCCAGTCTCAGGATGGCACACAGTGGGGTATATTTGGCATATACCCACACCCAGCACCGCCCCAACAGGCAGCCCAACCAGCTGCCCCAGTGAGAAAGCTTTAGATGGACCCCTGTGTCCTGTGAGGACCTCAGGAGCCTCGTGCCTTCAGTGGAAGTGACCTGGCTGGTGGGAGGGAGCTGGATGGAACTATGATTATACCTGCAGGTACCATGCTGGGTTTTTCCTGTCAGTGAAGAGCTGGGTGGACAGGTCACTTAACGTCTCTGAGTCCTGTTTTTTTCCTTCTGTAATGTGGTCCCAATGATCTCTAGAGTGTTGTGTAAATTCAGTAAAATAATGGTTAAGTAGGCATGTGCTGAGTGTCCGGCTCATGGTAGGAGCTCAGCGCGTTTGCCCCTCTGCAATGCTCAGTTTCTAGCTAACATGGTCTCTAGGGAGCTGGGTGACTGGCCAAGAAATTGAGGTGTGAGTCCAAATCTCCTGATTTCAATCTCCGCTGCTATAATCCCACCACAAGAACTCCAATACCCACACGATAAATGTCGCTTTTTGCAGCATGATTTCTCCTTCTTTATGTAGCATTTCTTAAGTTGCTAAAGGAATCCAGAGGATTTTTTTTCCCTTTGGTGGGCCACTTCAGACTACCAGCACATCAGAAAAGTGTCCCTGAGCCTGGATGGTGAGGAACAGAGGAGACAGCTCTGAGGCTGGCCTCGAGGGAACTATGCGACGGCACCCCTCACTCCACACGTCGTGAAGACCCTTAAACTCAGACCTGCAGCCGCCCACTGGCACCTTGAGTTCAGGTGGAGCTGGGTTTAGCTGTTTGGTTTGGATCATTCTTCTTGGGTTTTGAAGACTTCCTAATTACTTAGATTTGAACCGGAGCTTTCTGGGGTTATGATGCACAGACTTGGGTGAGTGAAGGACTTGACTATTCTGGAAGGTTCTCACAGGTCTTGGAGTGCCCCCAAGGAAGACACAGGAGGGTTAATGGTTGTGCTTGGGCTGTTAGGGAAGGGAAGGGGGTTTCCTGATCCACAGGACATCTGGCTAAGAGACCTTGACGCAGCTTTTAGAGATAGAGTGTCGGCGGGTGGACTGGGGCTGGGGCTCAGCAGTAGTGCATTTGCCTGGCATGTGGGAAGCACTGGTTTCAGTTCTCAGCACCACATATAAATAAATTAAATAAAGGTCCATTAACAACTAAAAAAAAATAAATTTAAAAAAAAAAGAGTAGGGAAGAGCAAAGAATGGAAACCAAAAGTCTGGGAACTTCCACTAATGACAGACCTGCTGAAAACCCTCAGTCAGTACTTAACTAAAGCTCTATTGACCAAAACAGCACCCATTCCAGCCCACAGGAAGTTGGGAGTTGCTTAATCTTCTCTGTCCAGAAGGGTAGATGGGGGCTTTCTAGGTGGTGAGTGTACCCCCAGTTTAGGGCTCTCGTCAGCGTCCTCTTCAACATGACCTTAGGAAGAAGCTGGTAAGAGCACATTGATCCGAACGTACAGGTTTGGATGGTGTCTAGGCGTGAGCCAAGGAACGGTGCCTACCAACTGACGCACTGTGTGGAGGAAAAACCACCAAATCATCGAAAAGCAAGGCCAAGGGCAAGCTTTGCCAGTTAGGAAAACCGACCTCAACTAGACTTTTCTTTGATTCATGAATTAAAGACTCAAACACACCGGGACCTACAGGGTGGAGGTGCTCTGCAGGCCAGGAACGGCAGTTTGCCCCCATAGATGAGCATTTCACAGCCCCACAGCTCACAGGAGTCATGGCTCCCAGGCCTGGTGCACAGACAGCAGGAAGGACCCAGGAAGTCGTGATGCCCAGAGGCCCCGCAGGCGGGAGGAGGCCCTGACAGCATCAGTGTGGAATCTGTGGTTTCCTGACCCAGAGACGCTCTGCTGGAAGAGAGCGGGGAGCAGGAGTCCACAAGGCCTGACGGCAGCCATGCAAGATATGAAAGACCCAAAGCCAACGGGGTCGCAGGACTTCCAGAGACAGAAATCACGGGAGAAGGTGGGGGTTCCTCGAAAAACTTTTACAGTAACATATTAACTGCACATACCAACGGGGTTCAGAGTGATATTCCACCACGTGCACGGCCTTCTCTCGTTTCTTTGTGTTTGGCAACTGAACGCCTCTGTTCTTATCCACAAAATATGCAACATTTATATAAGTTAATGTGAACGAGGGTCGTCCTGCTGTGCTGGGGGATGCTGGAGTCACCAGCTCAATCTTTGAAACAAAGAGGGGACATTAACAAATCTGTGTGTGTGTGTGTGTGTGTGTGTGTGTGTGTGTGTGTGTGTGTGAAAAAGAGAGAGAGTGAGTTGGGTACTGGGGAATTTCCTTCTTGAAATAAAATATACAAATCATACACAAGTCCTCTTTCATTGAAAAAGAGTAAAACCATCCCGAAGGGCAGAGAAGAAACTGTGCAGCCCCTCCCCGCCACTTCAGCACAGGGCCACTCTCTGGCTTTCCCCAACATAGCCATTGGCTACAGATTGGGGTACATGACCCCCATCTGCTTCTATGAATATAGAAAAATGCATATGTAAATTATGCATATGTTTTTTAATGCAGCTCAAACTCGGTATCTCTTCGTCTGATCAGTAACTCCGTGCCACTGTATTGAGAACTGTTAGGATTTTTCACTGTTGTGCCTGGAACACTCGGTTACAAAATCCAGCTTGCTGGGGATCTTGAGTGGTTCAGCCAACGTGCTTCTGTGTCACAGTAGAAACAGAGACGAATAAGAACCAAAAAAGGAAGGCAAAGCCTAGGGACCGGGGGAGACTTCCTGAACAGAAGGTTGTGAACTTGGAGGCAAACCAGATTGATACCCATGACTACGGAATGCTGCAGGCCAGTACAGACACACCACAGGAACTGGGGATCCTTAAGGAAGTCATGGAAAACCAGGAGGGTGAGGTCTTGGTTGTATGAGATCAGAAATGGTGAGGGAAGCCAAATCCAACTGCAAAGGGAACAAGATCCAGGAAACTCTGGTCACGCAACTGTCTACAAATATGTGCTGTAGCCAGAATGACTGGGGAACAACTGGGACAACTGTCTCCTTAAAATCCGGGCAGCTGTGGGGCTGGGGGTGAGGTTTGGCAGTAGAGTGCTGGCCTCACAGGTGTGAGGCCCTGGGTTCAATTCCCAGGACCACAAAAGCAAACAAAATAACAACAACAACAATAAAATTTGAGACTGCTGTGCCAAGTGGTTAACAGAAAATTGGGACAGGTCTGAGAGGGGAAGAGGTACCAAAGGAAATACTCAAGCCCTTAGCTGAATATCAGGTTCTGTGCAGGTGCAATTACAGGCATTATGTTCCAAGGAGGCCTCTCTGAGACTCTTAAGGGCAAACCAGACAAGACGAGGCAGCTGGAAAGGACATGGGTACATCAAATCCAGGCCTGGCTGAGATGCTGATCTGATAGAATGGCTCCTGGGCAGTTTATCTTGTGTAGGGAAATGAGTTAATGTTTCCAGGCATTTAGAAGAGGGAGTAGAACGTGTTATGTAAGTGGTAAGTGATAAATACGTTTTGTTAAGATGAACACATTTTATTTGCATAGCAGATAAAATTGGCAAATTCCAAACTCCGTGACTTCATCCTCTTCACTGTGGCAAGTCCAAGAAGACCAACTATACGGAAGTCCACTAGAAAAACAAAGGTCTGGACACTCGGAACCTGCCGTATGCGTTCTTGACCTGCCCTACGGATGTCAAGGAAAGAGATCAACCTAAGGAGCAGGTCAGAACCAGCTCTGAAATTTTCAGAAAAAAACGGGGGGAATGAGAGAAGCACTGTGCTAGGCAGGGAAAGAAAAGCTGCCAGAGGCCAGAAGCGAGAAAGGAAGAGGAGAGGGTGTGGTGGGAACAGGGGAGCGGTGCAGGCCTTCGCCAGAGTGGAGAAGGACATGCCTCCTCCGCAGAAACACCATGGGGTGGGGGTGCTTCCCCAGGGGCGGGTTCCATAGGCCCCAAGCAAGGATGGGGTAGCTCGCTGCTTGCCCTGGGGTGTATGTGCCTGAGGAGAGCTGGTGAGCCACAGAGAGTAGGCCTGTGAATATCATGGCTTGGTGGGGCTGACTGGGCCGCCATCTTGCCAAGTCACTTTCTTACCTTCACCAGAAGGCTTCGTTGTCTCCAAATGTCATCATCTGAGATAGGCATCAGGCAGAGAAGTTTCCTTGGATGGGAAACAGAGCACCATTTTTACTCTGGATGGGAGAGCTGTTGGTTTGTATTTAAGTGCAGACATCATGGATTCCAGACCTCCGGCACCAAAGGGCTTCCTGGCACTGCCAAAACCAAAAAGATTTCCCCTTCCATCTCCTTGATTCCAATAAGACTTGGAGTCCTCTGTGGATTTGGGCAACATAAAATAACACATTCTAGAAACAAAATTTTGCCTATGAAAATACTTAAGGCAGTAGTTACCTTGTTTTCTAAAATTTAGGAGTGGAAGTCCAGCGTTGCCATAATCACGTGGGTTCCTTAAGCCCATTGAATCTAAAACCAAGAAACATCAAAGAATTCCCATGTACTAACACACCTCAGAAGACTTGGAAGGATTCATGCCAGTGACTCACATGGGAGTAGAAAGCCATGTAATTGAACAAAACATGAATAGCAGCCTTGGACTTAAACCAAGTTTATTCTTTGAAAATTTCCGTAAAATAATCCTTTGGCAAAGCCAACCAACGAGAAGAAAACTGAGAACAGAGATATAAAACTTTAAAAAAGGAGAAATAGAGATTGTAAGGAAAAATTAAGAATTATGATTAATTAAATTTATGCCAGAAACTATGAAAGTTTTTGTGGAATGATTTCCAACAATAAATTTTAAAACTTTACACAAAATCTGTAGAAACAAGTACTGTAAGATAAATTATATGTAATAGATAAAAACTATTCCTTAAAAAAAAAGCCCAGATTATTTTCAGGAATGTGGGGGTTTTTGGTGGATGCATTTATTATTCTTATCTGATTTGGGGTTAGTGTTATTTCTGGCCTTAGAGAGATATAGATTTCCACATTTCCAATGCTCTGGAATAGTTTTCATTAAGTTAAAATATGTATTTTAACTTAATGAAAACTTGGTTTTCTAGTGGACTTCTGTATAGTTGGTCTTCTTGGACTTCCCACAGCAAAGAGGATGAAATCATGGAGTTTGGAATTTGCCAATTTTATCTGCTATGCAAATAAAATGTGTTCATTTATTTGTAACACAAAGCTTACCATTATTGGCATGTAGCGCATGCACAGTGTTGTTTCTCCATTGCTAATACCTAATTCCAGAACATTTCTGAGATCACTTGTAGAGCACAATCATCTCTCCTTGGAAGATTAGTTACTTTAGATTAAACGTGCCACTGGGCCGGGAAAACCTCATTTCTAACCAGCCTTATTTCTCTGTTTCTGAGACCCATGGACTAGACCCTACCCGGGACTGTGGAAGTAGCCCATCCTTCTCGCTGTCCCACTATTTCTGCTCTGTATGTCCCAGAGCAGTGCTGGCATGGCCACAGAGTTTTGTGGTCATCGTCATCTCCTTAGGTACCTTTTTAACTGGAATTTAAAAAAGCTCTTTGCTCATTTAATTTTCTAAAGTATTAAATTCTGTTCCCGTAGCGTCTTTAACCCAGTCTGTTGCTGAGTGAATTTGATCCACTTGCTTATTCTGATCACAGTACATCTGGATTGGCTACTGGACTGTCATTTCTTTCCCACCCAGCATCCCTGCTGTTTGCCCTCTTCCCGACCTGGGCCTGATTTTGTGGTTGTTGTTTTCCCTTTAATGTTCTAGATGTGAGATCCTGTTTCTTCCAGTGGCCCTCTTACATGTTTTGGACACACATATTTATACTTTTTCCACTCCCATGTCAATCACTGTTGCCCCAGTAAGTCAAGAATTTTAGCTCAGTTCAGATTTTCTCAGTTCCTCCATTGCTGGACATTCCCCCTCCAGCTGTCATGTTGGGCTGTAAGATACTCATTCAGTCACTCAGTGGGCATCCATTGAGCACCTACTGTGGGCCAGCATCTTCAAGGTTCTGAGTTTATAGCAGTGAATGTCTTACAAAATTCCTCCTTTCATAAGGGGAGAACAAAAACACCCCAAAACCTAAATGAGTAAAAAGGCATTCTGTTAATAGGTGCTCAGTCTGGGATGGCCTCACTGAGGAGATGTCCTTTGAGTGGGAAGGAGGGCAGAGTCCTGCAGAAGAAATACCAAAGCCTCAGAGGGCACTCACCAGGCAGGAGTCCGGGTGGTCCAGGGGGCTGACACACAGGGAGCGAGGGGAGGGCCAGGGTCCAGTGACCATGGGCATTCCTTTTTGCTGCTATCTCAAGGACTCCCCCAGCCCCACTGCCCAGCTCTGTTCTGCTTGGCTATTCCACCTGCCTCTGGCAGTGTGTAGTTCTGATTTCCAAGACCTATCATCGATGGTCACGTTTCTGGATACATTGCATTCTCACTTCGCATTTTAACTATACTTGCTTCCAAGGATTCTGTTTGTTTTATGGACTCTTCATAAAGGCTACCTCTTCCTCTCCCTATAAAGTGTTTCCTATACTTTTTCTGAGTCGTTGTGCTTGTTTCTGTTCAAGGGAGTTGTGGTTTGCTCCCCGTGGACCACAAACTGCCTCAGGTGATTCTGGGGGCCACGCCTGCAGCAAGGAGTGCCAGTGGCTCTCTCTGACCATCAGGCTCTCCCGCCCCTCCTGCTGAGGTTCCAAACGTGCTTCAACCCCGCCACAGCAGCAGCCCTGTGGGAGCCTGGCAGGAGGAGCAAGAGGATTCCCCCCCACTGCTCCCAGCAGCTTCCCCTGTTCCTTATCCCAGGACCTTGGGCCCCACCCACTTCTAGCCATTTTGAAGCCCAGAATGTCCCAAACCTCTTTCCTTTGTGAAAGGCTTCTCTGCCTATTTTGAGCTGGGATCCCTCTATATTTGTCTTTCTGCACATCCTGCTCACCTGCCTTTTCTCCTTTAGGGACTCCTCCCACTTCTATGGCTCTATTCTTATTTCCTTTGCAAAGCTGAATTCTGTCATGCCATGAGACTTCAAGCAGGAAACCCCGGAGATCACTGGTCACACTGCTTCCTCTCAAAATGATGCAGTTAATACTCACCAGACAAACAATAAGTGCACTGTAAGTTTTATTTATAAGACTGGAACAGACAAAAGTATTAGTTTGGGTTTTTGTTTTGCTCCAAGTTTAAATTAACTAATAAAATGGAGAGAATGACACAGGAGCTACTATTTACAAAAGGCAGGTTTAACTAAAGGTCAGTTTTTATTCCAAAATAGGAATAATTACATATACAAAGTGATCATTTTATAAACATTGATCTGAATATTTTAGACTGGTGGACTTTCTTCCATAGGGGAAAAAGAGATTGACCCGAACTCTTTGGCATCATTTTTAAAAACAGTTTCTGCTCCAGTTGTGGACATGGAAGAATGCATTCTGATGATTAATTTTTTAATATCTTTAAACTTTTCCTTCAGCTGTGGACTACTTCAAAAGCAGTGTGGTATGGGGAAGAGTCCTGGACCGTGGAGTCCTGAGACCAATAGTTGGAATTGTGCTTCTAGTTCTGGCCAGCTGTTTGACCTTGGCGAGTCGCATCCCAACTTTCTGGCTTTCCCAAAGGGAGAGAATTCGGATAACCATGGAACAGCATCTGGCCTGTAGGTGGCGCTCTAGGATGCTGGTTTTAGCAGGCGCTGCGGCTGTGAAAGTGTCAACCTGGGGCACATGCTTGCTTTTCTGCCACCTCCTCTCTGGTCAGGGGAGACTCTCCCCCCAGGAGCCAAGCAGGAATGGGAGAAAACATGCTACCTAGGAGCTGCAAACTGGGCTTCTCTGAGTCCTAGTCCTAAGTCTAGTTCTTAACTATTTCATGCATTTCTTTGGATGTTTTCATTATTTTTCCAAGTAAGCAATGCTGTCCTTTCCTTTGTAAGGAAAATTTTAGGTCAACTTCTATAACTCTAATTTCCTCCTTAAAGCCATTTAGTTTTAAAGATAGCTTCTTTTTAATTTTGCACTTTCTAAAAGATAGGGTATTTACCCAATCCTATTTTAATAGAATAATATTTGCTCTGAAGTAAAATAATTCATTTTACCTTATTAAATTTGGTGCCTCTGGGCTAGCTCCTGAAAGAGTAAACTGGCAGGGAATTAAATAATTCTAATTCTCATTAAAATGATCCACTTCCTATTTTTTCTTGTCTCCAGTCTTTATGGATAAATGATCCTATAGAATATGGCTTTGGAGGAAGTTACGGGGACATCTACCTACTGCAGTCACACCCACTGCCTGAAATACTTGCACCTCACAAGGTCGTCCCAGGCTCTTCAGAGTGAAAGAAGTCAGGGCTGTCCACGGAAGCACGTGAGTGGCAGGAGAGAGAGCAAAACCTCCTTCTTCATAAAATGGACTTCACAGAACCAAGGCTGAGAGGTCTGACCCAGGCCACAGGGTCTTGGGTTTTCGGTCCTGCCCATCAGAGACTGGTCCTCATGGCCCCCAGTCACTGCCCAGCATGCAGCCACAGGCACAGCATGTACCATGGTGGGAGGGCTGCACAGCAGAGAGTCTCTGGGGCTTGTTCGGCTCTAACACCTCATGGTCCCAGGATCTTTGGCCCCAACAGCAGGAGAGCTCTGCCCATCCACTCTCCAAAGCTCTGGGCAGCTCTCAGATGTGCTGTCCAGTCAGAAAAAAGAGCGGCCTGTCTTCTTTCGCATTGGCGGTCTGGAACTCATCCCGCAGCCGGAACTGCCACTCGTCTTCCAGCTCCAGGCGGACAACTGTCTGTCGGAGCGAGTTCCGGTCCTGACAGATCACGCACAACGTGGCACCTGCGGGGCAATGGCAGGGTGTGAGGGGAGAGCTGGTGAGTTTCTGCAAAGGGGAGCTCCTGCCTGGATCCCACCTGCCTGGATCCCACCTGCCTGGATCTCACTTGCCTGGATCCCACCTGCCTGGATCTCACTTGCCTG